TAATATCTATTGAAATCTTTGGAAATCTACTAAAATCTACTGAAATTTATCAAATTTTACTAAAATCTACTGAATTCCATAGACGTCTACTGAAATCTACTAAAATCTACTTACCGAATATGAAGCAATCCTCGTCACCATAATAATTCTAATAAAAAATTATTCGACACACAAAATTCATTAAAAAATGATTAAAATCCTAAAAAAAAATATTCGTTCTAGAATCTCGAAGTACAACGAGCATACGAATGTATATTTCTGCAATATACGACACCTAGCTTGATCGAAAAAATTCAATTTAAATCATACGATACTTTCTTCTGCGGTGTACGTTAAATTTTGCATTTATAAATGATTCCGAACATTGTTACACTCCCCTAAATGTTACCTAAGTGATAAAGATATTTTTTTGAAAGATCTGTATTCCCGGCTGGAGCTCGCTCATTATTCTCCATTTTCTGTTAGTAAATCTTGAAGAATAGCGACGCCCAAGGAATTTGTGCTTTCTTTTGTCGAGCGACTCATTAATCACACAATGCCGTACGTCGAGTAGATTCGATCGATCGACGACGAGATAACCGCGTAATGAGCTCCGCTGCTCTCTTGTTAGGCCGGCCGGTACTTTGTAAAACGAACTTATTATTGCGGAATCGAATTAATTTGCTACACTAACGGCCCAATACAGTGGAACAAATAAGCAATAGGTACTGTAAATTACGATAAATTCTAACCTAACCGCCGCGCCGCTCGTTCAACTTATCTTTCCTCCATTTCTAAATGATAAAATAATTTATCGCGATGTGGGTGACATCATATCAAGTGTAATAAAAATGGAAATTGTTAAATATCGTTGCGTAGCATTCGGTTTTAATAATAAACGTTATGAATTTATAATCGTAAGTGTAAGTTTATGTAAAAGAAAGTGTATGTAAAAAGAAAGAAGGGAACTGATATTTTTAAAGTGAACTTTTTCTATATAATTTGCAGCAGCAGTGAATTAGAGATGAGTTATCTGCGTTATGGAGTGTTATGCGTTTTACAAAGAAGGACAATTATTCGACGAATGAAAAATATCGTGCTCTCTACTACTTATTCAGCTACTCTTTAACGCAATGGTCGTGTTGCAAAATTGTTTAGCTTCGGTCAATGATAATTTGGCGGAGAACCGTAAAATGTTGATCAAGTGGAGGTGATATACTTTTTCTCAGAAATATCCTACTCTTTGTACCGATTCGGAGTTATCTCATGATAAATGCAAAGGTTTCCTTTAAACACGAAATTCTTCGTTACACTGTCGTTCATAAATATCAGGACACCATTTTTGCAGAGAGAATTATACGATTTAAGTTACATTTCTTTGACAATGTTAGTATCATATATCAGCAAAAATACACAGGGTGTTCACGCTATCAGTTGACAGTTAAAAGGGGACAAAGTTTCGTTATTTGTTGCATTGGTTTTGGCGAAATGAAGATACCACGAATTTTTTCAAAATGGTAGCTATAATTCAGTTGCTGAGACAAGTTCAACGACCTGCAACGAACTCAATTTCGCGACAATGTTTCGACACCCTATTAGAATCTTATTTTCGCAACACCTTAAGTAGAAATAGATATTTAAAATTATTCCAAATTCCAAACAAATAATTTCTCAACGGCTGTTCAAGCCAATAAGCGTCTCAGTGCTCACGAACCTCGGTGTACGAACTTCTCCCTATCAAAAGAAATCTACAATCGCGCGGCGAAGATTCGAAATCGGAGCGTAACAATCTCTGCACATATCAATTTCTGTAACGATCGAAAATTATTTATCTTCAGACTGTTACGAGAGGGAAGAAGTCTTTAAAGGCGCCGACAATAATAACTTTCTTACTTTTATCGAGGAATAAAGAAACAACCTAAAAAAGAAAAATGAAAACAGAAAAATAAATAAAAATACAAAGTGAACGGGGAAAAAAAGGAGGAGGAAAGGGGTTCGCGGATATAGCGACATTTTAAAAAGGTTTTAACGAGGGAACCTTCGTCAAGCGTCGATACCAAACACGACGTAGAGTGGATCGCAGCGGGCTAGGCGCACTCTCTGGCCACCGCGACGTAAAGTAATTAAATGCAGAGAAGAAGGGGAACGAAGCGAACACGAAGGGCTGGTCGGGATGGTGGGGTCCGAAGGAAAGAGAGGGAAGAAGGTAGCGAGGGCGTTCCTAAGGCCACTCCCCGACTTCTCTCTGAAACCTCACGAACTGGAACCTGGCTCTGTGAAATCTTCTCGTGTATACTCAGTGCTCGTGTACTACCTGAACCGAAGTGTAGCTTGCTGGTCAACTAAACGCTACGGTTTGCATATATGATCATGCCCCATTTCAGACATTTCTGTCCTTTTATCGTTTTTCTGGGGGCAGATTTTTTGCGGATTTTTCGCGAGATGCGATACAGCTGAATGATATGAGGTATGCAAATAGAGATAAAACGGAAGAAGATTTATTTAAGTAGATTTTTTGGTGTAGAATGATACGAGCCACTGAGAGGCCGAATATTTTGATATTCTTCCAATTTTAGTATTAAAGAGCATGCTTCGTGTCTAATTTTTCGTAAATAGAACAAATTTTATTTGGTGGAGTATTTTGGTCGCTTTGGTTTTTGAGAGGCTTGTATAGAACAACGTGTAGGGTTTGCTTAAGAAATATTAAGATGAAGATTGAAGATAAATAATGTTACTAGTACTGTGTCATGGAAAATCACTATGTAAGAAATGGATCTGTTTCTTTTCCGCAGCAATTTTGCTTCACCGATTATAGATTATCTATACCGATTTTTTGATCATCTTCCTTCTTTGAATCTAGTATGGTAGAACTATACAAATTATGCACACAAGTAAGGATGCACCGTTGCGAAGGATATGTTTGAACCTGCCTCGATCGTTTAAAAATGCAGCTAAAGTTTAAGTGTGATTGTTACCGTTCTTTGAAAAATATACAGAAATTCTGATGTGCAGTGAATAGATACTAAACAACTTCAATTTTGTAAGTGACTACTTTTTCTGTGATAAATTAACGCAAGTATGAAGAGCAGAGAAACTTACCTTTTCAAGTCGATGTATCCTATTTATATAAATACATCTGTTGCTAATTTCTTATTGTCAGATTTGTGCAGTGACGTTTTGTATCGAAGAATTTACAAAACGATGTATTTTTTTTCTCTTAATTATTTACAGAAATATCACGAAAGTATGTAAGGATAGCGAAATTATTATTAAGAGCACCGTGGTCCGAGAAAGATCTCAATGGGGCAATGGAGAAGGTGAAAACCAAACAGTAAGAAATAATATATTTTCGTTAGATGTTATTTTATTTTTGTTCCTAATTCTATTATTTTATTATTTTGTTTCAAGTTTCATACTTAACAGTTTATAGAATAATTCATAGAGTAATTACTTATTTTTTACTCCAGCAGCTACTGAATTACAGAATGTCCCACTTAAGATAAAAAATGTTATTATTTTCTACTACTTCTTGCTACGTTTTGTTCACAATCGAGGAAAAGTAGCGAGGAGAAATGACAAATCAATACAATTTGCAAGATAAAATAAGAGAAAACTTCTTTTTTCATTAATTTCTCTTTAAAAATGAAGCCTACTATCAAATTTATATCCTATTAAACAAGTGTTCTATTTACTTCAATTTAAACAACAACAAAATTGAATGCCTTCGTATTATCAATAAACAACAATCCACATTTTTTTGTAATAGCCTGCGATTAATTTAAAATATTTCTTCAACTATCATAAACAACACGACTTAACGCACTTAATTTAACATCGTTTCGTATAAAATTATAAAATATAATCGCAAATTTTTATCCTTGTAACGTATTACAGTATCCCCTTGATCTTTATGTCGAAGTGTAACCACTTATAATAACTATCATACAGCATTCACGCTTCCAGCAACTCGACATTTTTCCTTCCTTTTGCAACTGTTCTCAGTTTACCTCAGTTGCTACTGGATTACGTGATCGGGAAAACATTGAATGAATGCATTTAGTTAACACGTTTATGATAATTAGATTCGCGAAAGGTGCGGTCAGGTACTACGGCGAAGTCTTTGACTGCAAACGAACACGTTCCAAGTAACCGTGTAAATTTGACATGCTTCAAAATCGAAGGAAATAGTGCCTGACCCAGCTGTATATAACAGTTTATGATTTTTTTTATTGGCACGATAGAGAATGTCTAGGATACGCGACGGTGTCTTTCATGTTTGAGTGACTCTTTAATTAGAGGTTGATACGGAAACTAAACATTCAAAGCGGTGCATAAACGTCTTGTATAATCAAAGTTCCGAACACCTTTCATACTATAAGCTGTCGTCGTTTTTTTCCTATCGATATTTCAATGTTGCTTTTATAATGAAATTTGCGAATAAAAAGTTTAAACAAGTTTTTACTTCGTTCTTTGGTTTCTACTGGGAATTTTAAGGAAAGGTTGTTTCACAAGGTGCATAGAGTTTAGTTGAGTTACGTATCTACTGAAATAGGTGGATATATATGTAAATGTTACGCATAAATTTGAAGAATTTATTTCATCAATTTATTCTTTGCAATACGTACTTCAATCTGGGATTTTTTTACACAGAGTATCAGTTGAAAGTTTAATTCTATCCGTTAAGATGCGGTAAAACTGAAAGTAACTATAGGGAAAAAGTGATTTAGGCGAGAATGATAAATTTCACTGTGTTGAGTTCGACATGAAACTTTGAATTTGATGAAACGAATTGAATCTTACATCGCACTTTTGCATTGCGCGATTAAACTTACAAGAGGCGGTGTATATTGTGTCAAGTTTGAGTTATATAGATCTTTGTAATAATTATGTCAATAAAAGGACTATGATTGCACGGAATTTTTTTTTACTGTCGTTTGCCATTACTATTATCGAAAGAACACCTACTTTTCCTGAATTTGACGTGAAACTTTGTTAAATTTACAAAACTGATTTGTACTTACCAGTTTCGAGATCAACGGTATAAGGAAGGCCTGCCCAAGGATCATCTGGTTCTTCTTCATATTCCTTTGTATCTTTCTACAAATAAAATTCCGACAGAATGTGCCTGTCTATTAAAAATATAGTTTCACGATCAGTGAATGTTTGCTTAAATTAATAGAGCTGTAAATTAATTAAACAGTTAATTTGAAGATTACTAGTGTTCCTTTTTGCAAACAGACCACAATTAGCAAATTATCCTTTTGCCTTCAGAAGTTATGAAATTTATATCTCAGTAAACTGACAAATTTCAATTATTTAGAAATATAATCCTCGACAATAAAAACAGATTCCATCGTCTCTGTGATTCCTATTATTTGTCTTTATTATAAAGAGAAGCAGATATAAACCAATGAGCAAAATATCTAAAATAACTCTCTATTGTTCGTGTTATTCTACTCAAATCATTTGTTTATTATCGTAACAGATAGCAAATAAACGCAAAAAAATTTAGGTGAATATTATTCCAAAAAATAACGAATATTTCGTTCATTAAGATAGAATAAAAGTTCAGTTAGGTTAAACATATGTATATGTATATGTATACAGTGTTCTGTCGAACTACGGGTAGGTTTAGAGACGTCGACTGTCCGCGTAGTTGGGAACCATCCCCCGGTTTTACGGAAAACTGAAGTCTGATCACCTGCACTACGTTTCAATTGTCGTACATTGTCGTTAGAATAATAACAAACGAAGTAGGTCGTGTGTAAAGACTTAGTTGTTTACTAAGAGACAGTGTTTTTCCAGAAAAGGATAGAATATGTATATGTCTCGGGGAGGCAACAGTAAAAAACCTAATTTGTTGTTGTTTCATAGCTATAACACATCTTATTACAAGAAACTATAGCTGTGTAGCTCGCAGAGACACGCTTCTCGTTTGATTTTTCTTCCAAGCTGAGCTGTT